ATCCATCTATAATTATTTAAAATTTATAATTATAAATGTAAATGTCTATATATGTACATATGTACATATATGGAGAGCTACATTAATGTGAAGTGTAAGAAAGGTTTAACAAACATTAAGTAATTTGATGAGCACAGATACACAATCTCAAAAATTCATGACTACAGTTCAATAGGAAATACACCCTAAAGTGGTTATCTGGACATTCAAGTTAAAAAGATGAAAAAATATAATTTTAGAATTCTCTCTTTCAAGAGAATTTATAAGCAATCTTTATGAATCAGATTTTTCAGGATATTTAAGATAAACCATATTTTATAATTAAAGTCAAATGCACTTTTCTTAAAAGACATTGGGGATTATTTTTCAACCATAGCATTTTAAAAGAATTTTTTAAAAGGTGACAATTATGTAATTTTTTTTCAATTTCTCTAAGTAAATTTGTTTACAATGTTTCAAAAGGTATTCCGTGTGCGCAACAGTTTTACACAGAACGATATTTTCTCCAACATCTCCATCTGCTGGTTTAGAGGAAAAGTAGATTTTTATCTGCTGTTTCTTTAAATTTAATATTTTAATAATTTTATGGAATTAAATATAAAATAGTTAAACTGTTTTTAAATAGAATAACTATTTGTCAAAGTCACTCATCATAATAGGAAGATCATGAAAAATAAATTTAATATTTAATATTTTACATTCCAAACTTATAGTATCCAATACCCTTGTTTATATTCCTTTTAGACAGCTTTATTTAAAAATAGTTTTAGTGATGAACACATTAAAATATATATATTAAGATATTTAGAATGTAAACATATTTAGTATTTACTTAATATCTATCACTGATTTTGTTGACCTCTATACAAAATATGGTATATACATATAGGTCAATGTCAAGTTTTATCATTTTGACAATTGTTTTTGAATAATTGCAATACATTGTTTATTCATAAGAATATTGGAATAGCTTCAAATCCTCATACTAAAGTTCATGGACAAGACCACAGGGATCTGAGCACACTCAAGGCATCAAAAACCTGCAAGATTTTGAAAACTATTGGGAACCTCCTAGAGGAGGAAGGTTAGGATAAAAGTAGTTACTATGAGAAAACATTCATTTATTCTCTGACAACTAGAAGGCGCTTGATAAAAAAGGGAGGGAGACAGGGGAGGAGAAGGAGAGAGGTAAGAAGGAAAGAAGGGTAAAAGCAGGGCTGGTTCAAGAAAAGATGGAAGAAATTCTTAAAGCCCATTACAGGTTTCAACTGTTGAACACATCAGTGGCTGGCCTTTTTAATTTTTCTGGTATATGCTTTCTTTGTATTTTCCCCTAATGAAGGCTTAGAGCTGTAAAATCTTTGGGGGGAGAAAAAAAAAACAATTTAGTGCTGTATCTATATCTAAGATATCTAAGGAAGGGAAAAGAGGAATAGAAAGGGTGGAGAGAAGAGGGAAGCAGAGAAAGAAAGGAATTGGAAATTTGTCTTTATTTCCTCAGGTACCCATGGAAACAAATGGGAACAAATAGGTACTTTCATTACCCCACTGTGGCTTGTGAAAGGGAAGGAAGTGGGAGTTCTGCTAAGCAGTCATTTTTTTTTTTTTACCTGGTACAGAATCTAATGACTTCATTTCATTTGCATAATTTTAACCCTTTCAGTGGATATCCTTGGAGCCTTATATCAATGACAAAGGCAACATTTCAAATTAAATTTCATCTGGGGGTGGAGTTTAATTAGTAAACTCATATCTTTTCTATCAAAATTACATTATTAAGATATAAAACTCAACTTTCTTAATACATAAATTTAACCCTATGAGATTTTTTTAAAAACTGAAGTTAAGAGAGAACCACATAGTTTATGAGCGCTGATGATACATATGTTAATAAGGGAGGTAAGGAGTAGAATTCCTTAGATTTCTGAAAGAAAGGAAAGGAAATTATTTTGGTTTAGTTATCAACATAATTGATACAGCTGCTTTCACTTCACTTAGGAAAGAACCTTAGACTTCCCTGGTGGACAAGCAAGAAAACAAAGACAAGCATTGGAGAAAAACTTGAGCAGGATTTAAAAGATCAAGGCTTGTCTTAAGGAATTTGGTGTTAGAAATTTCCATTCATTTCTTGACTATTGACTTTGTGATAACAGTTTATATAAGCAGCTCTCTCTGAAAAGAATTAAACTAATTTTACATTTTCTATTGTCCTTGAAAAAAAAAAAGGCGTGTTGGGGAGACTATAAAAACCCCATTTCCTGTACAGTCTCTTGATTGTGAAATTCCTAAAGAAATGAAGAAAAAAACACAGAAATAAGTGATTGGTGTTGTCAAGGAGTCAGTGTAGACTCCAGAAAATTCTATGCAATAAGTCTCTGGTTCTCACTAGTTCTCTTTAGCAATCAGTCAGATGACTTACAAATTGGAGTACCAAATGATTACGAATTGCCAGTGCTGGCAATGTGAAAGGATATTTAGTTCCTCGGCATGATTTGTCTTGATGTCCTAGAATAATAATCCAAGAAGAGGAATTTTGGTATTTGGAGACATGCAAATTTTTATTTCAGCTTCATGTTCTGACAGAAAAAAAAAATCTGCAATGTGAAGATTTGATCCTTCCAATTTCTTAGGATGGTGGTCAAACAAATTTAATGGTAGATTCTATAAAATAAAATCTTATTACATGGATGTAGCTATATATACATTCCATTATTACATGGAGCTGTATGTTTTTCGTATATACATAGATTTTCTCTCTCCATATCTTATTTCAACAAAACTTATATTAAAAATAAATCTATTCGAAAATATTGAGACTAATGACCTAAACTTATCACCAAACCTAAATTAACCATGATCTTTGATTTCTAGATAACCCCAACACAGTCACTCAACATTTATTGGAATCAAGGGATATACATTTTGTTCAGTGGATATATCTACTACTTTTTCAGTCACACCCTCTTATTATTTTCACCAATGACTGAACTCTCAATTAGTGACCATTTTCAAAGTGCAATTGTCAATTACTTTTACCTTATTTTAAAAAAATTCACATACTTATAACAATAAGTCTTGCCTCAAGTTCTGTTTTAGAGAATCTTACAGTATACATTGTATACAGCATTCTCACACTATAAAATTATGCACAGTTAGAGACTTAGCACAGTTATATGTCAAACTCAATTCAGAAAAAAACCTAGAAACTTGATACAGATCCAATGATTAATCTAAATCTGATAAGTAAACAGGTCATATGTAGAAACATTCAAAAATCAAACTACAGTAATTTATTTGTAAGTATATACTCATTGAAAGTTTCAAAGGTATTCTCATATTCTTTGGAAGATTTTGTAAAGCTGCAAAACCACTGTAAGAATCTCCTCTCCCTCTCTGCCTCTAGCCCTTTCTCTCTCCACCCCCCTCCTCACCCTGCCTCCTCCTCAATTGGTATTAACATCTGAAGAAACCATATACCACTGAAACCTTAAATAGGTTCTTTATACACAGTTAGATTCCTCCTATTTGACACGATCCTACTAAGTCAAAGAAAATTATTTCATTGCTTCATTCGCCTGACAGGAGTTGCAGGATGAATCGATGGCATGTCTGCTGTTGCAAACAAGCTAAATCATAGAATATATGGTTAAGGCTTAATATGGGGAGGTGGGATGGCAACCAGTTGTTTGTCTAATGTGGAAGGTCTGCAGTTGGCTTTTTCTGTGGTAATTTTCCGCTAGTTCTTTTACACAGTAGCCAAAGTAGGAGGTGAGCCATCTGCAAATCTCCCCCAACAGCCAAATTGTTAAGTATGAAATAAAAAGGGAGAACATCAAGGCAGGAAACAATCACCCCAACCCAAGAGGGAGGAAATGATGGCAGCTGCTGGGAAGAAGGCAGGAAGGTACAGTGGCTGTGGCCACGCTGCCCACGCCTGGTGCGGGGATGGGAGCGCCTGGTCTGGGGCCTGGGAGCCTTTCTGTGGAACCTTGCAGATACTTAGCTCCTCGGATCTTTTACTTTGTTTAAAGCCTTGATTGACTTTCATCATCTGCCTTGTAACACTGCGCAGAATGATGGGGCCAAGACGAATAAATGCCAACACTAAAATGGCTGATCAGTGACTTCTTCAGATTTTTAAACTCGGCTCGTTCCAACCGTTTTCAAGTCTTTTCTTCTCCTACCTTTGCTGGAGCCGCGCTACCTGAGAACAAAGCGCGCGGGACCCGCGAGCTGGCCGCAGTGCCCAGGGCACAACCATAGCTTTCAACTTAGGCTGAAGCTCCACGGAGCAGCGAGAAATGGACAACGCTCCCCCTTCGGCCCCTAGCCGGCGCCCCGGCACTGGGCCTGCGTCACCCTAGCTCCCAGCCGCGCTGCGCCCCTCGGTGGGCGTTATGTAACAGCCCCGAACCCAACTCCACCATCATTTTAACAACTTGTTAAACAACAACCCTCGAGGTGGAGGATATAAGGGTAGTGAGGTCGTTAAAAAAAAAATGAGCTCGATCTAGTGTGCGGTTCTAAATCAGGGGCCACGAGCAAAGGCCGCGGTTGCCGGGGCAGGCTGCTGGACTCAGGCAGTCACCGGTGGGATCTGTCCAAAAGCCAGACAGCGCGCTCTAGGGAACAGCGTGTTCTGTGTGGGCAGAATGCTGCCGGGCGCGCAAGATAAGGGGAGGAGGCAAGGAAAAGCTCTCTGCAAGCACTAAATAGAATTGTCAACCCCGAACCTAAGGAAGCTACCCACTAGCCTCAACTCCTACCCCACCCCCCAGTGTGCACACTCTTCAGTGCCTTTTGCTCCCTCTTAAGCTCCCCCACAACCAGCGGGGGTCCTCGAGAGAGCAACCACTTTCTTCCTACGCCGTCACACGCACGCGCGTGTGCAGTCACTCACACCCACACACTGCCACACAGAAACCCATCCACCACCCCGCACTCACACTCCCTGACTTTTCGCGTGCGGCACCGGAAAGACATGAATATTTATTACTTACAAGCATTGGTGACTGCGAAGCTGTTTGCTACCTCCAAATTGTCGATGTGGGGTGTGAGTCTGAACTCCGAAGTAGAAAACTGAACCATCCCTACCCGAAATGCACTGTATTCCTGATCGGCGCCCCTGGGAAATAGCCCCCCTGCAAAGAACAAACATCAAGCAGTAGAACAGTGTCAGTGCCTGGCAGGGAAGGAAGGGTAACCCGCTAGCTATTGCTCAACATCCCAGGAGCCTCTTATCCACGCTAATAGGCTGAATAAAACATCAACAGATTCGGGCAGCGGGGCTCGAACGTCCAAATGGTAGCCAAGGGGTCAAGACACAGATGTGAGTCTGAGGGCAAGGTAGATGGTCAGAAACGTTGGACTTTCCTTCTAACACAAGCTTTGTATTCAGAACCCTAGAGCACATGAACAAATGGGAAGAAATTGTTAAGGCAGAATTAATAAAATCTGGGGGTCAGAAATAAGACCTTCCTTCTACTGTATCAACGCTATAGTCCTTTTCTTTTGCGTTATCCTAAGAAATCCAAGTATATTCTAGACAGTTTAAATCTGGAATGCAGTCAATGTATGACATAAGTCTACATGACAAGAATTAATTTGTCCACTGTGAACAAAGATTACCACCAAATTATGCACAATTCAAAAGCAGAGCACAAAGGATACCTACCTATCTGTATGCTGTTAGAAGAGACACCAAAAATCAGTCCCCATAAAACAGGAGAAAGGAGGACAGATATATGCATAATCTTTTGCATTTCCAAGAAAAGTAGAGCATCCACAAAATACCCTTTTTGGTTTTTCTTTTCCTCCTCTTCCCTCTTTGGCCGTTTTTCTCAGCAAATTAGATCCTCTGCATTTTGAGAAAGCAATTTAGCACCACGCTGCTAAAAACCTCAAGTGGAGGCAGAGGACTTCCTATTTCCCAGGTCCTGCTGGTGCTGCTGCTGCTTGCGACCAGTCCCTTCGGAAGTCCCGAGGACAGGCTGGATGCAGTTTCAGCGGAGCTGCCACTGTGGTCCCAGTGTCTTGGAATATTCAGCACCCTCCCATGCATTCACACACACTCACCCTCTCTCGCGCTCTCTTCTCCCTCTCTCCCCCTCACTCACACGGGCGCGCGCGCACACACACACATACACACACACATAACACACACACGCAAGTCACAGAGAGGGGCAGGCAGTCCTAGGCGCGCGTGCGCGACTCGCGGCAGGCGGCAGGCGCGCGCGTCCACCCCTCCCCCACTCCGCACCCAGCACCCCGCACTGCCCTGACAGCGTCGCGTGCGCGGAGGCGCTGAGCAAGAACAGCTCAGAGCTCGGCCGCCTCTCTCCGGTGGCAAGACCTCGGGTCTCGCGAGCTGTCGCGACCCCCAGCCCTTCTGTCTTTCAGCACCGAGGACAGCGCCCCATTCCTGCCTGGCTCTACCTTTGTGCGGCTTGCTGCAGCTGCCTCGAGATGCTCTAGCCTGTATGTACCAAATGCAGCAAAGTCGATTTCCGGCTCCTGTGCAGAAGCCGAAATGCTAATTGTTGGCGGTGAAGCGTTCCCTTACCAGGCCTTGCTGTTTTATGTTAAAAGTAATTTTTGTTTTTAACATCAACAGCTCTGAATATCCACTTAATAATATAGAAACTCTCAGCTTTCTCACTCGACCCAGTCAAGAAGCAAGCAAAATAGCCATCAAAGCAGTGTTCCAAAATTTTGAACTTTATGTAATGTGAAATAACTAGAATCGAGGGAAAAACCAAAATTCTATTTTTAATAGCTAACGCTGCAGAGGAAACCAGGATTGAAATTTTGAAATACTTTACTTGGAAATCCCAATTTTTACAGTGTGTTCCATTGTACCGTGATGTTAACCTGCTGTGTCAGACATATTCAAATCTCTTTTGCAGGCTTCACTAAAGACTCTTTCGTAGAGACTGATTGGCTCCTTTGAAGCCTTTTTTTTTTTTTTTGGTTTATTTAGTTTAGTTTAGTTTTGTTTCTGGGTAGTAAGAAGTCTTTGTTTCAAGAAAAGGCTCATCAGAGAAAGAGATTAGAAAATGAAAATGGTCTAGTCTAGAGAGGGCAATGAGTTGCAAAATCTTTCCCAGAAAATTACTGCCCTTAAGAAAATAAGCTTAAATCACTTTAAATCCAAGATATCGAAACTACAGGAAAAGAGGAGGGGGGGGGAGAATGAGGTTGAAGATTAAAAGTCTGTAGGAAGGAAGTTTGTGGTGGGGACGAAAGTCTGGACTTCCCTGTGAAACATGTGCACTTTACCCTTCTTTCCAAACTGATAACTTGGAAATTCCCTGGCAGTTACCCCTGTTGCCTCAGAAATCCCTCACTAAATTTTATGACTTTTGTGGTTTAAACAACAAAATGCAGATTGAATACAAGGTGCTGTTTCCAGAAGGCCAGAGATGGGAGCGGACACTACTGAACCAATGACCTGCTGACCTTTCAGAACGCCAGAACACTTAGTCTGTCTCGTCTTGCTGGAACATGGTCACATCAGTGCTATTCCTATAGATTTCATTTTGACCGAGTTATCTCACACAAGTCTTTATTACTCTGGACCTTGTTTCAAACATTTTAAAAATAAGAAAGGTGTAAAATTAGGACGAGCATAGTGACTTATCTATTGCTCTCAAACATTGCATTTTTTTATTTCAAGTTTTCATCTTCCCCTGTTTTTGCTTTCAATATGTAATCCTAAAACTGCAAATAAAAATATCCATAAGCTACTACTAAACTTATTTGCTACAGGTAAAAGTGGCTCCCAATTTTATCAAATAGAATTTATTTTAGTCTGTTAATGAAGATTCCACACTGTATTTAGTAGGTCCTGTGAATCAAGCTTTTTAAACTAAATAAAAATAAGAGAAGAATAAATAAATATCTGTACAAACATTGCAAAGTAAAGAATATTAAATAAATGTAACATATTTAATCTCTATTTATTATCTAAAGCACAATGATGATTTTAAATTTTTCCTACTTGAAATTTTAAATTGTACATATACCTGAATGGATAACAGTTAAAAGAAAAAACTTCCTTTCTGTAATTTTCTTTTTTCTCTACTCCATTTTTCCTAACAAAAAAGAAAACCTTCAGTGTCATACAAAATAACTTGGGGTAGAAGAAGAATGCAGAGAGAGAGAGAGAAAAAAAAAGAGAGAGATGTGTTCAAGTGTAAAGAAACCATGGTGTTAAAATGGGGGTCAATGTAAATTGAGTGGTTTTAAAAGAAAATTCCAAAATCTGTTTCTGTCTTTGTGTATTTCGATGTCAAGGCAAAGAAGAACTCTAATGGAGTGATTAATATTTTATGGAACAAGTGATATAAGAATTAGCCAAATTATGGAGTATTTTCCTAATAAATATGTAAGATCTCAGGGCAAATATTATCTAATAACCAATTGTAATTCATAAGTACGATAGAAATAAAAAAATTTAGTAGGCATTACTGGTAAACTGACAGTTAATCTATTAATATGTGTTGTATAAGGTTATGTATGTACTTTTTGCCATAACTGTATACATTTCCTGTAATATTAGCATAATTGTAGTAAAGTTATCATTAATAGAACTTTTCCCTATTCACATTATATGTGCTTTAGATCGCTTTAGCTCACACATTTTTTTTTTAAGCATTAAACACTGGCTACATAAATATAGTAAATTTTAATCAAATTAAATGCATATTACTGAAAAATATTGAAATTCACTTTTTGTACTTAAAAATTTCTTGGTTTGAGAATTTATCCCAAACTGATCTGTAGTCAAGTTTGAAATTTTCAAAACTACTAGAATTATGTTGAAATAAAATAGTGTGCTGGACGAGATTGTGTAACTTTCTGCCCTCTGCTGTTCAGCATTGGTAATTATCAGAAACAATATTTCTAAAGTGAGGGTCAGCTACAGTAAAAATAAAAAGAAAGAAATACAAATATTGGCCACTCTGTCATTTGGGCTTTTATTTTGCATGGTTGATTGTTACTGTTGTTTTATCTATGCTTAAATATAATTTTCAACCTTGACAAGAATATAAGTGAAATTTCAATTCTGCCTTATTCCATCTTTGTTTCATTATAGAAAAATACTTACTGTTAAATATCCTTCAAAGTGCTCAAACTTTGCACAGTTTTAATTTGCATTTTATAATGCAAATTATTTCTGTAGTGTAGTGCTTACACTACAGCTTTTTTTTTTTTTTATAAAAAGCTTTACGTAAATGAAAGTGTGTGTTGGATGAGGGCATTGGAGATAATAATTTTCAAATAACTGTCAGAACAAATTTTAGATGATCTCATCATCAAACTTGAATTACAAATGTCAGTACCATATTTCCTAGTGATAGCATCTACCCACAGTTGCGATTATTGCCTCTTTTCCGTTTGATCTTCCGGAACTGTGAAAATAATGGCTATCTGAAATAATTGTGTGCAACACAACATTAGAAACAAGAAAAAATCCAAGCAAAGATAGAAAATTTCCCGCAGAAAAAATTCAGATTCCAAACATGAGCCCTATTGGTTGAGCTGGAACAAATGAACAACTGGGG